GCTTTCACACATATCTAGAAAAAAAAAATGAACTATCCTTACTTGAATTTAAGTACTAAAATCACACATTCTCTTAGTTTAATTCTATACTTACTAAAATCACCACCTACACTTAATCATTTCACCCCAAGCAAGGCAATATAGTCACTAAGATACAAGGAGTTACTGAGTGTTAGAGAATATGAAAAAAATATATTATTAAAGAGAAAGGACAATAAAAGAACAAGAATTAAGAAAATAGAAGATAATGATTGTCATTGCTTTTAAATTTTTGAAGATCAAAGTTGACTGGGAAAGCAAGAAGCAAAAAGAGAGTTCCACAAGAGAGAATTAAAAGAGAAGAAACTATTAGCATAGAACTTACAGCGTGATCTAGCCATTTCAACTGTAAAATGATGAAACCTCATTCTCTTCATTGGTGAGAAGCAAGTTCCACACTTGCTCTGTAGAACCAACTCCCAAGAAAATGTTTTCCTGATCACTAGCATTTCAAGTCTAGGATTAGCCATTATCTTCTCCACATATCTGGCAATGGCAGTGGTGAACAAAAACTTAGAGAGTTGAGTTAAAGGGAAATAACTGAGACATCCAGAAGAGGCAGGCCATGTAGAACTAGAACATTCTACCCTGGTGAATGAAATAAAGGGTTCAATTTGAAATTCCAATCCCCTGAAGGAGGCTGGAGCATATAATGGCCGAAACATGAATATGGCAGCAAAGATAAGGACAACAATCTGAACAATGTAAATAGTATAAATAATTAGAATACCACATCTCAGAAATATTAGACAAATATTGAAATATTCATTGTTTGCACAGATATTTATATATTGCTTTTTTTATATAGGTTCTTTGCATGTCTCCACTGAATATTTCTAGTGTTCACATGCATCGCACTGGCATCTATCTTTGTGAACATCTTTAAGCGGCAAGAGAATTGCCTCTTGAGCCTCTGGATTGTTCTTATATGTGCTTTTGACTTTCACTATTAAACTTGGGGAATTATCTCTTCTTCCTTTCCTGTTCCCCTTCTTCTCAGTACTGTTGCTTGCTAGATAGAATATCGGTCAGTATAGACAAGGTCTTTTCGATACATTTGTCTTTAAATATCTTTGTGTTTGGCAACTTCAATGCACATCATATCAAGTGACTTCATCATTCTAATGCCACTTATCTCCCTGTCATTCAGACCTTGAATTTCTCAATTGTTCAGTCTCTCACTCAAATTGTTTCCTTAGTAATTCTGATAGAATATCTCATCTTTATTTAATACTGCTCACTTATTGCTTGCCTCATTTCCACTGAGTTCAAATACCCACCAGCCAGCCAATCAAGAAGGAAATTAGAGTCATTATATAACCTGGTATTCCAGATATGTCAGTTAGCTAATCTACATATCCGGGTATTCCAGATATGTTAATTAGTTAGCCGGGTATTCCAGATATGTTAATTAGTTATTTGGGCATTCCAGATGTGTAAGTTAGTATAAGCGATCTGGGATTGCAAAAGAAATATTTGTTGCAGATTACTTCCACAACGCAGAGAATAAATCACTGTAAGTTCAGACATGAACATCGGGGGCAGGAAGAAATGCCGAAAACTCGATTCGCAGGTACCATCTCACAAATCACAATGCACATGACCAGTCAGAAAAATAACTCATTCTCCGACAAACGCAGTAGCCAAAATACCCAAATTTTATTTTCTCTTTTGCTTTTATCGGCCTAGCATTTTTTTCATTTATCGACAACTGGGAGAGGATGCTCAATTTTTGGATATCAAAATACTTTTATAGTGACTCCTGCGACTGACTTGTTTCTAAAATATTCCGTCTTCAGAATGTCATGCAGAATACATGCCCTTTTTTTTTGGTAAGTAATTTTCTTTTTCATCACATTTTCCGTCGTAGGATACATGTGACATGCTGTCGTTTGGTTTGACGAGGTAAGTCACCATTTTCTTTGCTATAGTTAATTAATCTACATATCTGGTTATTCCGGATATGTTAATTATTTAATCTACATATCACTATAACCTGTTTTCCTAAAAAAGTGTTTTAAGTGAAAGATTGTATAAATTTCAACTGAAATTGGCTGCTTGATCAATGAATGCCAAATGTTTCCTTGGAGGGAAATAGCTAATATTACTATTAGTATACAATATATTCCCTGAGCCTGAGAGAAATTCAGTTTTATTTAATGATTAAATTCAAGCATTTTTTTAAGGTTTAATGTTAAGTATCTAAAATATGAGTCCAGCTAAGAAATGACAAAAGAATAAAAAGAAAAACAATATTAAAAATGACACACACAAAATATTAGCAGTAAATATTATCCTTTTCTAATTAAGAAACATAAAGACAACCAGAAAGTGTCGAACATAGCAAACTCATATCTCCAGTCCTAATCATTGTATAATATAATAGAGCATGGGACAATCCTATTAAGGAAACAATTAGATGAGATTATTGCAAAGCTGAAGAGGTTGGGGAAACAAGGGAAATAACTCTTGAATCTTTATTTGCTTGCTTTCTTTGCTCGTTTTTATTTTCTAGTTATTTGCACATTTTTTTTTGCCTTTATCTCTTGCTGTCATACAAAATTTGGAACCTGGCCAAAATCTCTTCTACCACACACTACCCATTCCTGACACACTGTGCCCAACAAAAGCCTCCAAGAGTGTAACACATGGCAGAAACTATGTTCATTCGCTTGATAATCATAATAATTGTAAATAGGTCGGACTTAAAGAAACATTATGGGCTGGCAATACAGAATGAAAACCAAATAACTTTAACAAATGAAAGAAAGCACTTTCAAAAACTAAGATCTTTACCAAATGATAGAAAGCACATTTAAGAACATTGTCGGCTGGTGCTACAGTATCAAAAACAAAGAAATATACCAAATGACAGAAAGAACCTGAAAGAACAATGTGGGTCAGCACTACAGAATCAAAAACAAAGAACTTTACCAAATCATATAAAGCGCTTTAAACAACAATGTGGTCTGGCACTACAAAATGAAACACAAAGAACTTTACTTTTTCAAAAACAAGGAACTTTACCAAAGGACATAAAGCGCTTTAAACAATATTGTGGGCTGATGCTACAGAACCAAAAACAAGGAACTGTACCATAAGACAGAAACCATATCACTTGAGGACTTTTAACAGCATCAACAGTTAAAATGGATAGCATATCTAATTCGAAGAGAAAATAATGATATAATCAACATGTTGACAATCCGCATGACTTCAAATAAAAGGTTAGGAAGGAAACTCCCATCAATACTTGAAAAACTGATAACAGCTACTGGGCTTGAATAGAGAAAATAATGACATAATGAAGATGTTGACGTTCCACATGACTTCAAATAAAAGGTTAAGAAGGAAACTCCCATCATTACTGGAAAGAGTGATAACAGTTACTGGGCTTGAGAAGAGAAAATAATGACATAATGAAGATGTTGACATTCCACACGACTTCAAATGAAAGGTTAGGAAGGAAACTCCCATCAATACTGGAAAAATCGATAGCAGCTACTAGACTTGAGAAAACTTGTTTTTCCTGGAGGATTGTTCTAAGTAAAAGGTTTCATAAATTTCAAATGACAGCAGCACTGGCTGTTTAGTCAGTGAATGCCAAATGTTTCCTTGTAAGGAAACAGATATTATTACTATTAGCATTAAACAAAACAAAGAGTGATATTAAAAAAAAGAGACTTAGAAATTGGGTCATATTAGTAAAATGAAACAAATATACCATTTTCTAAACAAGAATATATATATATATATATATATATATATATATATATATACACATATATAGAACTAAAAAATATTAATTATTATCGTAAGACATTGTGGAACATTGAGAGTGTGAAACATTGGCCTTGTAAAAAGTATTCAACTTGTCCAAAAAAATACTTTTGAGTGAAGTGAATATATATATATATATATATATATAAATAAAATTTAATTTAATATATATATATTTATATATATAAATATATAAATTATATATATTGGGGCTTATATATATATATATTTATAAAAATGGTTAAATTTACTTTAATTGATTTAATTGAAAATTAAATTTATTTTAAATTCAATTTTTTAACATATATATATATATAAAAATATATTTTAAATATATATTTATATATATATATATGTTGTTATAGTCGCCACCTCCTCCATCAGGAACATCATCTACTCTCCTTATTCTCCTTTCCCCGTCTGGTGGCTGTGGTAGAGATGGCCGTGAAGGTCCAGCTGACTTCTGAAGAGTAGTCAAAGAGAGTTTGATGAGGCCATTCATGTGAATTTGATTTTAGTGGACAACAGAGAAGCCCATACACTTGGCCAGAAGCAAAATTATTTAGCTCAGATCGACTGAAGTTGAAACCAAGGTAGCTGATCTAATTTTTTTCAAATTTCAAAGCTCTGCATCTTAAATTTTACTTTTCTTTTCTTTATACATATATTGAGCACTTTTTTAATACTATGGTTTTCAGGTCTAATTCAACTCTGACCAATAACTTTTTTATAATTATAAATATAAAAAGAAAGAACAGTACGATATATAACCCGGTGTTGATATTTTCATTTTTACAAAACAGTGCTCAATATAAATTTACAGAGTATAAATATTTTGAATTAACTAATTTAAAATATGGTTTCTTGTCTACATTGAAATTACCAGGTTTCAAAAACCGAAGCTAAAATCTTCAAATTTAATTATATAATTAAAATTAATTATATAATTAAATTATTTGGAATAACTTATTTTTAAATTTAAAATAAGTTATTCCAAAATTCGCATGATGATGAAATAGAACTAATGCTTTTAATTTAATTATATAATTAAATTTGAAGTTTTTAGCTTCAGTTTTTGAAACGTAGTAATTTCGATGTAGCAAAAAACCATATTTTAAATTAGTTAATTTATAATATATTTATATATAAATATAAAGTGTGAACATAGAAGTCACACTTAG